TGTTTTCCTTTTTGACAAGCATCACAGAGGTGGTCCCTTTTGAAGTTGATTTCAGGGAGTCCTTTCACCAATCCTCGTCTGGACAGTTTGTTGATTGTTTTGAAATTTAAATGGCTTAATTTGTTGTGCCATTCCCAACTCAAATTTGAATCTGCCTTTGTCACCAAGTAGATCCCTTCCTTTGCTGAGCTCCAATCAACAATGTACATGTCCTTCTTCCTTCTACCAGTGAGCACAATTTTGTTATTTTTGACATCTCTAATCAAGCAGATGTCTTTGGAGAATGTAACATTATAGCCATTGTCACAGAGCTGACTTGTGCTTATGAGATTGAACTTTAATCCTTTAACATAGGATATGTTTTGGATTGTAAGTCCATTGATGGATAGGTCTCCAGCTCCTTTGGTTTCTCCTTGTTTTTCCACATTCCCAAAAGTTACTTTGGGTCCTTCTCTTGCCATATAGTTGAACAGGAGCCGCCTGCTGCCTGTCATGTGCCTGGAGCAGCCTGAATCTATGTACCATGTTCGTGAGTCAACTGCTCCAGCACCTTCCTGTATTCATCATTGTTGAGCAGTAGCCCACAAGTTAGTGGGCAACTTCCTTTGTACAAGTTTGGGCATCCATGCCCATCTAGAACCATTTAGTTCTAAGCAGATTGGTCTATAGCCATTTGAGGTGTTATAGTCATGGGGGATGGCTATGTATTTGTTAATCCTTTTCCTTCTTGAAGTGGAAAATGGATTATTGACTTTTGGAGGAGACTGCTTAGTGTTTTGACTGTGGTTGGTCTTATTGGTTGATTGCCAACGGGTTCTTGGGTTTTGATGGTTGGGAAGTTTTTGTCTATACAAGAGATTGGATTTTGATTTGGGAGCAGGCAGGTTCCTTCTTATGGGAACATTTTGAGAATGGGATTTTTGGTAGATTAGCTTTCTTGTATTTTGTTGGTGGCTTGTGGAGGGTGAGTTTTGAGTGAGTCTGGTGGGGGATACATATCCTAGTCCTCTTCTCTTTCTATTTAGAACAACTTCAGCAGTAGAGTCACATGTTTTACTATCCATGCTGAAGTTATTTATTTTGTCTTTCAGCTCTTTGTTCTCTTCTTTTAAGACATTGTTTTTGGTTAAGGCATCTAACAATCTTGTATGAATAGCCTTAATGTCTTGTTTTAATCTATCATTTTCTGATCTTAAGAGAACATGGTGATTTTGGACTTTTTGGAAATCTTGTAATAAAGATTCCAGTGTAATATTGGTTGGTCCAGAATCACTAGAGCTATAAGAAGAGCAGGATGTTACCTCAACATCATTGTAGTGGTTTTTGGTCATTAGGCATTTAGGATAGCTGCATTCATCATCTTCACTGAGCCATCTGCTGCTTTCTCCAGTGAGCCAGCTGCCGCCTTTTTCAGCCATCTGCCAGGATCCTAGGCATAGAAGTGCTTCCTCTGAGCTTTCAGATGAAGAGCTTTCATCACTTGAGCTGCTTTCATCTTCAGACGGGGGTTCCTCCTTTTTCTTTTCACTTACAAAAGCTTGTCTATTGCTTTTGAAGTCCCTCTTGTAACTAGCTTTGGGACCAGTCCCCTGCTGCCCTTGATACTTCTGGGCTAAGGGCAGAGGGCATTCATTTTTGTAATGTCCTGGCTGTCTACAGTTGTAGCACAGAACAGTTTCCTCACTGGATTGAGGTCTCCCTTGTCTTCTAGGTGGCAGGTTGTATGCTTTCTTTGGAGCAGTTCCCTCCTTCTTCATGAATCTTTTAAATTTCCTCACAAACATAGCAAACTGCTCGTCAGTGAGGAGATTATTGAGGGATTTTTCAGCAGATTTTGAAGTGCTTGGCTCAGACACTAGAGCTAGTGTCTTGTATTCATCTTCCTTCTCTTCTTTGATCTCCTTCATTTCAAATTCATAGGCCTTGAGATCACTGAAGAGTTTGTCGGTTGACAGAGTTCTGAGATCTCTGCTATCTCTCATAGCAGTTACCTTCATGTCCCATTTTGATGGCAGGCCTCTCAAGATTTTAAGGGAAATTTCTTTTTGAGAAAGTTCTTTCCCAAGGTCAGAGACCTCTGCCACAATCTTCAGGAATCTGGACTCCATCTCATGGATAGATTCAGTTGACAGCATTTTGAAATCCTCAAATTTCTTGAGGGCTATGGTTAGTTTATTGTCCTTCTCCTGTTCATCCCCTGCTCCAATCTTTGTGAGCTCATCCCAGACATCTTTGGCAGTTTCGCATTTCCTGATTCTGGGAAATATAGATTCATCAACAGATTTGAATAGAATGTCCTTGGCAATGTTGTCAAGATTGTTTCTCTTCCTGTCCTCAGTTGTCCATTCCATTTTGGGTTTTGGAATGTACACATCATCTGTCCCTTCTGTGGTTCTGGATGTGATGACCTTCATTATTTTGATAGGTCCATCAGTAATTACTTCAAGCATCTCATCATGTAAAGCACTGAGATGTGCTTTCATCCTTATTTTCCAGTCATCAAACTTGTTCAAGTTGAACAGAAGGTTCTTGGCTAGCTGACTGTCCATTTTTGAAGGTGTTCCGGAAGTAGAGTAGAGTAGTTTGGATCTTTTGTTCAAATTAGTCAGAAACTGACTCTAGGAACACACCTCTCTGATACCACTTGATGGTCCCGGATAGGGTAAAAGTCTAGAGGGGGGGTGAATAGACTTTTAAATCTTTTTCAACTTTATGAAGTTTTTCCCTCTAGATGGATTGATCTATAATCTTGTGATAGATTAATAGATGCACAGCGGAAGTCTTTACCCTTTTTGTAATGAGTGTGTGACAACTTTCTAGTTTGAATGATGTTTGGACTGTAAACAGTGAGCAGTTGGCTTGGCAGTTGCCTAGATGGCAGGGAGCTGCTGAGGCAACTGCTAGTGGAAAATAGGAGTTTGAGTAAGATGATAATATGGCTTTGTAGAAAATGATGAGGGCTTACTGAATATGTGTTGAGCTGAAGGTAGTAAAGAGTTTTGCCTGAGCAGTGGACTGAGCAGTTGGGTAATCCCAGGAAACTGCTAAGCCGTCTGCTGCTTATAAAGAGGTATCTTTGAGGACTGACCAACCACACCTTTTTGTAGTGATATTCAAAGCTTGTGGGAAACAGATATCTCAAGGAAAAGTGAGTTATTAAGCAGTAGGATAAGCAGTAGAGTCAATTAAGACGACTGCTTAGGATGCTGCTGGCAAACTACAATCCCTTTAGTGAGAAGTGTTGGGTGTGTGTTCTGTTGAGTAAAGGAGAATCAACACACGATGTATCCTGGTTCAGAGGTGGTGTAATCCTCCTACATCCAGTCCCACCCTATTTCAGATGGATTTCCACTAAAGTATTAAGACCAATACACTTAGTGCCAATCTAGCCTTTACAACACTTAGGCCTAGATTGAAGGTTTTTCACAATGAGTATAACACCACTCAAAGTTACTCAGTCCTTAGACTTTTCTCGATTGATCCAGTGGGGATCAAAAGGTACTCTATCTATCTAACTACACTTTGGGATCCGAACAACTGTTCTCCTAAGTGTTTACAACCACTTGTGAAATGTTACAAGAAAGTTCTAACCTCCAACTATGAACTAAGCTCTAAAAATGTGAAAGTGTTGATTTAATCTAAGAGCTTAGTGAAGCATGAGGCTAAGCAGAGAGTAAAGTTGAGTTTGCACTTTCTCTTTTGCTAGATAGCTCGTATATGCTTTGATAAACGTATTTCTCTACTTAGGATGCTCAAGCTTGCTTTGTACTCATGCTTCTACCTATATTTATAGGCCTTCATGGTTGATTAATCTCATCCGTTGGTTGAGATGGATTAATCCTGTGCGTTGAGGGTCTGGCTAGGACGAATTGTACATTCGTCTTTTTGTGCAGGAGCTTTTAATGCTTTTGTCTTCTGTCTTGAATAATTGGGCCGCGGCATGGGTTTGTCTTCAGCCGCTGCAGCTTCACTCCAAGAAATCTTCCCATGCTGTAGGACCGTGTGTTTAATGCTGGTCAACTTTTGTCTTCCAATCATACACATTCAATGTATTCGAGCATCTTAAATGTGACCTATAGTTAATCTTTAAGTAAAATGACATATGCCGGTAGGATTTAAATATCCTATGAAGGTAAAAAGTTACCTTATTGCATTTTTATGTATCCGGTAATATATCATTAATCTTAAAGATTGTACATTTATTTTTGTCACTTATGATTTAAATTTGAATGTTACTTTTGAAAATAAGACTCAATGTACATTTGTTTAGTATAGTGGCATCATCAAAATCTATCAAAATTGGAGACTAACAGTTTTCACATATATACATACATAAGTAATAACAAAAAATCGTTCGGAAATCTAGTATCACATTACCTAGGCACACCATCAACAAAAGACTTGTCACATTTTGTACAATAGAACTGCGAATTTGTTTTATCCAGTTTCTTAGGGCAGTTTGGGCAGGATAAATACCACCAGTTATCTCCACTCTCTATCGCCAAAACTCTTGCATGAACCCAAAAACTGCCAACCTATAAACGTATTTAAATTTTAATTTGTAGTTTTAAAAAGAGAGAAAAACAAAGTTGAAAATGATACCTCTTTCGACTCATACAGTTCATCTATAGTTTTCAATGGTTCGGTCAAATTATTAAGTTCCTCCGATACAGGCATTCGGGAGTTTGACGTCATTGAAAGTGTACTTATACTCTGCAACTGAATATTTCTCTCCACCATACTTTAAAAAATAAACAAAAAAACAACATATTAGAGATTTGGAGCCTGATTAAAAATGGCTCTATAAAAATTTATTGTCATCCATTTACCCATCCATAAAACACTTGAACTCCGCACTTGTTCCATTAATAATGGCCTTCGTAACATGGAATGAGGTTGATAAATGTGGTGCACCTACACAACCATCCAATACCAACGTCACTTGCTACTAAAGCCATTATTTTCAAATTAAGTAAATGTATTTGTGTAAATCAAAACAAACCATTAGACATGTTTGCACGACAGTATTGCACAATACATGTGACTGGTTCATTCGTATTGTTATCCAGATACGAACTAACTTCATCGATGTAGCTATCCCAAAATGTGCATCGTATCTGCCGCATTCTATGGAATATAAAATAAAGAAATAATTATTATGATAGAATAACATGATAGTTCACACATAGTAGGGCCTAAATACATACTCATTATCTTGCAGTAGAACTTGTCTGGTTTTATGCGGCACTCCTTTTACCATCACGTCTTCTACACCTCTTTTTGACACAATCACACCAATCACATCTAAACATCAAATAATCAACCATAATTCCATTACCGCAAACAAAAAACAGATATATGTATCTATATATATATACATTAATGGGAATGGGAATTAAAATATTAAAATATAATTAAAATATAATATAAATAAACTCAGAAATACTACTAACCAAACATTTCTGTTTCATCCAATATGTTTGCCGTCAACACGCTCTCAAAAGATCTGAATTTATACAGATCATTCAAGAACTCAGGATCATCATGTTCCGTAATTTGAGTCTTTGGCATAAAAAGTATCTTGAACTTGTTGGGTGTGGTCTTGTATTTTTTCCCATCGTATGCCACAACAAAATTGCCGATTGCATAAACCTCTCCCTCTTTCATTGAATCCTTAAACTTTGCAATAAAAAAATTACGGATCGTTCCATGGATACGATCGCCCTAGCAATTAAAAAAAAGCCGCAGAGCATAAACATTAGTAAATATTAAATATTAACGAAGTTCAAAGACTAAAATTGACATTAAGCATACCTCTCTGTCGTGAAACACATATTCCAAAGTCCGGATTTCGCCATCTTCGCTCCTTGAGTAATACATCCGCACTACCCTTAATCTCAAACCCCAAATTCTCGATTGAGGAGATACATCCCGAATCAAGCCGAACATAGCCGCCATTGATCTGCAGATACTAAACTCGAGTGATGCGTTGTTGTCTATTTGCTATGGGATGCAAAGATGCTGAAGTCCCTATTTATAACAAAAGTTTGAACCCTATTTAATGCTCTCGTGAGATTTTTTTACAACATCTTTTTAAAGGTCTATTCATATTCCGGCCAAAGAATTTACCAGCACACAATTTGAATTTTGAATGCAAGGTTCAAAAGTCACTTTGAAAAATAATACTATTTGACGATGAGCACTTTTGGGAATCCGAAGAGTATTACTTCGTATTACTCTTTTTAACATATCATTATTAACTTTTATTGAGAAGTACAACATCATTACTCCAAATTAATTCTCTTTGCACGTTTCTCTTTACACATCCCAGATTATTTCTCTTTGAAAAATAATACTATTTGACGATGAGCACTTTTGGGAATCCGAAGAGTATTACTTCGTATTACTCTTTTTAACATATCATTATTAACTTTTATTGAGAAGTGCAACATCATTACTCCAAATTAATTCTCTTTGCACGTTTCTCTTTACACATCCCAAATTATTTCAAATTTTCAATACAACTTCCCACCCAAATTCCCTCCCAAACTATCCCCCACACTTTTCCATTTTAATATATATATAGATTGTATTGTCAGCCAAATGATGAACGTTTTGTTGATTTAATATCATTGTTGGTTTTACGATAAAAAAGGTAAATAATGATACACACCAATTTAAGCTTTGCACATTCTAGACATGGTCTCCTCACTTATTAGTGTGGTATCGTAACAGTCACCTTTATACATTTTTTTTAAATATGTTGTTATAAAGATTGTTGTTTATTGTCGTACAATTAATGTCCAGTTCAATTGAGTTCAATTTTATAATTGTTACATTGTTTTTAGTACAAACATGTGCTCGTTTTACTTTCATATTCCACATACAGGTTAATTCTAATGACAATGTTTTGTGGCGGTACGAATTGTAATCAATGTTTCGCGTCAGACTCATAGCGCCTCAAAATAATGTAATACTCTATTTTATATTTTAAATTATAAAATTTCATTTTTCTAACTTTATTATGTTATGTCTCTTGATTAATTTTCCATGTGTATATTTCTAATGTTTTTTTAAATAATTTTATTTATATGTATTATCTTTATCCTCATTTTTCTAATGTTTTATTTATAATTTACAACTATTAATTAGAATTGTACTTAAGGAGTTCGTTCTAGTGAGTAAGATGCTTCCCGTGAGAAATGAAAAAACACATGTTTTGGTTCATCGAGTTGCACGTTTCTGCTTGAGATAATGCACAATTCACAATCACATAAAAAGTTCACCGTTTTTACATAAATGCCACCATATTGGTTCATCCATGGCCATGCATATTTCAGCATCAAATAATGCACACAACTCAAATCCAATGCTCCAGATTTATTCTCATTTTCTCTCTGAAAATGTTGTTCTCACTTGATCTTAAATTTGTACTTAATCGTTAATTGTTATTAATTATTGCGTAATTGAATAATGTCTCAATAATTATGACAACAAATAACTTCTTTTGGCCACAAATGGATCTCTATTTGGATTTTCACCATTTTGTCTTTATATATAAAGATAAAGATAAAATACTTTTAAGGGTTTGGAGCAATGCCGCCGTCGGTCAGCTAAAATCCTCTGCCACTCACCACCGCCAGTTTGCCGCTGTTGTCGGAGTTCTTCCACCAACAGACTGTCCTGGTTGTGCTGGGGAATTAGGAGACAATTAATTATACGCAGTATTAGTTAATCATCTTAATGGTAAAAATGTAATATTCAGTCTTATTTGAGAAAAATAAAACATGTAACCCTCCTTTTAGAAGATGGTTATGTTTTTAAGTTAATTATATAGAGTAAAGTGGACTGGAGGCTTTAAGCCTAGGGTACGGTTTTGGCGACAATTGTTCGCAGGTTTCTAGGCAGAATCACGAGTGGAGGGACCATGGCATGAAGTATGATGGCGAGAAATGAAAATGGCATGTTTGTGTGGGGGAGAAATGAGAGTCGGCTAGCAAAGTGAGTTGCGAGTGAGAGTAAGGCTTGGGGTATTAGAGCATCTATACTTTGGGAAATTCGATCTGGGAGGAAGAGAATGATAATCGAATTGGATGCCCTTGCGGTGGTAGAAGGGATTTAGAGTGAATGGGGAGTCCTATTATGAGTTGACTTTGGAAGATATAAGATTTTTATTGACTCGAAATGTTAATATTAGAGATTATTTTTGTAAACGTTCTACGAATCAAGCTGCACACATTCGCTAGCTAAAGTATCTGACTCACGATCAAAGGCCGGTCATGATTATTATATTGCTTCTCATTGTATTGTCAACTAATCGGCTAACTATCTTATTAATTAATTGAAGTTTATCATAAAAAAACTAATTAGGCTTCTCAACTAAAAAATCCATGCCATGGAAACTGATATACCTATATAAAATGGGATCAAAGTCATCAAACTAAAAAAGGAGATATTGTTTTTACATGATTGGGTTTTGGGACTCATATGCAATCAAAACACAATTTTAGAGAGCATAATAATCTAAGGAAACTAACATAAAATAACGATTTATGCCCGGATGGAATTCGCCTAGAGTTTATAGTAGAGAAGTGACTTTAAATATATATTCTTATTCTTATACTTACGAGGAATGATCAAGAATTAAAGTAAAGGTTTTTTTTAATACCAAAAGTAAAGTGGGTTTAAGATGGTGAAAGAAGAACATGGAGGTTTAATGGTGGACGTAAATTTATATTAGGCCGGCTGGCCATTTGAATCAAATGATAAGGCGTAGCAGGAGCCATCCACAGCCGTTTTTTTGTAATTGATTAAGTAGCCGGATGGTTGGTCATTCCGTCCCACACCGCCCATGTTAAAAGAAAGCTGGCCTCCAAAAGGCTATAAGGTGAGCGGCTCATCCAACAGCAAAGGCATACCTTTCTCGGCCTTTTGGCTAAGATCAAGTGTAGTATCTGTTCTTATCAGTTTAATATCTGATATGTGGGCTATTAGCCCACTTGATATTAACTCAATTTTTTAAGGGGAAGGCCTGTTAAGGCAGCTTGCTGTCTGGGTCTTCGGGCGTTGCCTTGGCGTTGCACTACTGCCATGGCCCGGCGCACCCCACCAATAATAGTTCAATAATATTGAATTTCTGTAGGCTCTCCTTTTAAATATTAAAATAGTATTTTCACTCTTATTTTAACCTTAACGAACTAACACCTTACGACTTACTAATTAGTACAACGTATTAACTCGTCATCACCACACGGCTTGTTCGGATAGTCACTAAGAGCATCTCCAATGGTAAAATGTGGACGATGCACACGTGGCATGAGAAATAGCCACATAAATATTAGTAAATAAATTCTTTCTCTCCTTATTTGAATGATTTTATACAGTTTTGGTAAGTTTATCTCTACAATGTCAAAAAGACCGTCTAGATGTTGACATTGCTGTTGACATTGCAGGAAAAAACTTACCAAAAATGTATAAAATCATTCAAATAAGGAGAGAGATAATTTATTTGCTAATATTTATGTGGCTATCACTCATGCCACATGTGCACCGTGGACATTATAGCATTGGAGATGCTCTAAAATTCACTAAAGCGTGGGATACTAGAGGTATTAATTTGGGGGAAAACTATCAAATTGGTCCTCGAACTTTCATAAAAAAGCCAATTAAGAACCTTCTATAGGAGGTTCTGTCCGGCCGTCGCGATTTGGGGCAATTCCCGGTGGAATTTTTTGATGAAATTTTTTGAGCATCTTATTCACCAAGTCTAGTTTACTCATACCAAATTTCAGCTAAAAATTCAATCGAGAACACATTCAAATTAATTCTTGAAGATAACTGCACATTTTTGCATTCTCGAATTAATTTGAATGCCCTCCCGATTACATTTTTAGCTGAAATTTGGTATAAGTAAAGTAGGCTTGATGAATAAGATGCTCAAAATATTTCATCAAAAATTTCCACCGGGAACCGCCCCAAATCGCGATTCGCGACGACCGGATAAAGTCTCATATAGAAAGACTTAATTGATTTTTTTATGAAAGTTCGAGGACTTATTTGGATAAATAGGGAGAAGTGTTTGGGTAAATACGTATCTTCGAAATTCACATGGGAGAAACTTGACATCCACCAAGTACCACAATCATTTGATTTAGTTAGTTCGTTACGTACTACTACCTCCGTAACCTTAGAATCTTCCCGGTTTGACTTTTTTGGGTCAAACTTTATGAACTTTGACCATTATTTATTCAAAACTCACATTATGTTATGATTAAAAATTTATTTTATATAACTCATTGTAAAACATATTATTTGAATGTTAATTTATTATGAATTTTATAAATATAGATATGTAGATATTTGCAGTCAAAGTTCAACTTAGAAGATCGTGAAAAGTCAAAATGGGAAGATCTTTATGTTACGGAGGGAGTATTTTATACGGGAGGCAATGAAATGGAGGAAGGAGTGTGGATGGACGAAAGTCATTATACAATCTGACTTGCAACGTGATGATCATCAGATCATGGTATCTTCTAGGAGTTGACATATTGGTTTAACCAAACTGAACTGAGCCAAAGCGATCTAATCCGACCCGAAACGAACCACATGCAATTTGCCAATTTGGTTTGACTTTTGATAGCATTTCTTTCAAACCGTAGTAAATCGAACCGAATCAAAATCGAGAAAACCTAAAAAGCTTAATCAAACTAAAGATATCCAATAAAACATTCATATATTATTAAAAAATAACAAATTCAAACCGAACCAAACATATCTGAACCAAATCAAACCGAAAGATAATATGTTTATTACTTCGTATTTGGTAATCATTCTTCCATTCTGTTACAAATCAATTCAAACTGAAAACCGATAAAACCAAAATGCCCGCTCCTAATATCCTGAACCTGAGAGGGT